ATTTTTAAAAGCATCTATAGATATGCCATTTGTTACCCAGGCTAAAATGCTCCAATGGCTTCTTACTGTCCTCAGTTGAAAATCCCACCCTTTTCCATATGAGCAAGGGTAGTGGTCTTCCCAGCCTTGTCTTCAGCACTCTCTCTCTCCCCCTGGGAGGTAGATGAGTCCAGTCAGTGACTGACCCTGGCTAAAGGTTCTGGAATCCAATGGCCCTATTTCCCCATCCTGCCTCTGGCAAACCCTCCCATCCTCCCAGCTGCATGGCCTTCAACAAGCCATTTTTGCCTTCCTGAACCTCAGTTTACCCACAGGTGAAAGAGGTTGATAGTAGCTGCCTCTCAGGAATGTTGCCAGTTGTAGAAGAGGGATTGGATGGAAAGTACCATGCTGTGCACATAAGTATTCATAGTGTCCTCTCTGACATGAATTCTGCTGTTTGGGCATGTTCTCCTGTTTCTTTTAGTTTATTGATGCAGTGAACACCCATTATGTACCAATACCACCCGAGAACAGGAAATGGAGCACAAAAGCCTGCACTTTTGGAGCTTATCTATTCACGGGCAACAACGAGACAGAACTAGTAATTGTTTCAGCCTCTCTACTGGGCTTCACCAGCTGGGGTGCTGGGACAGTTGGGCTGAAGGCCCACCAATGACTTGGAGCTTCCCCTTCTGTCTGGAGGAGCTAAGGGAGGCCAGACTGGGTGGAGCTAAGGGAGCCTCACCTGCTTTTTGTCTTCACAGTGGCTATCTCTTCTCCTTTCTAGCAGGTTGGCTGGCAGCCGTGTTCTGCTGCCCACCTGTTGGATCACCATGGCCTTACGTAGGCTGCCTTGGGGCAAATGGGGCACCCCACCTTGTAGGCTGAGGGGTGGCCTTCTCTTCCCCTATCTGTGGTCACCAAGCATCCCTCTAGCATGACTTCTGATGTCACAGAGGTGTGGGACAGCAAGGCTCCGCCTTCTCACCACTCTGATTTTTAGTCCCCTCCCTTACATTTTTCCTCCAGATAAATGTTGACAACAAAGACAAGCAAACTATGCATCAAACTATTATATTTTAGACAGATGGTATTTCTTACCTCTTTTCTGGTTTGTTTTTAAATTCTTAGTGAAATGCTAATTTCTACATACAAAAACAGTGAAAATTATTTTTAGTTAGAACTTTTAAGATCATCGGAGGATCACATGCAGTAGTAAGAAATAATGTGAGGGGTTATCCCCCCAGAAAAATCAGGAAAAAGCTCCGCTGGGTGGAACTTTTGTAGTATGCATTTTTCCTGCTAGGCAAGCATTGAGCAACTCACTCTGAGTTAGTGCACCCAGTGGCATCACCTGGGAAGTTTCTCTCTGGTCACAGTCAATTTTTTTGTAAAAGTAGTTTTGCTTGAAGCTTGTTTTTTGTGATAACTGATTTAATAGAACCGCATGTGGCTGTGAAACTTTGTTTCCTACTCAGGAAAAATGCCACAGAAACTGTTGTGATGTTGAACACAGCTTACAAGGACAGTGCCATGGGAAAAACCTCAAGCGTATGAGTGGTTTTCTTGTTACAAAAAAGGTGATGTGTCAATGGATGACAAACCTCATTCTGGATGTCCGCCAATTTCCTGAATGGACAAAAATGTCAAAAAATTCGTACTTGTGTGCTTGAAGCTCAATGAAGGACCGTTGAAGAGCTGGGGAAGTTATCTGGACTGTCTTGGAGCTCAGTTTAGCAATTGTAATAAAAGATCTGGGAATGAGAATGGTTGCTGTGAAATTTGTGCCTCAGGATCTGACGGACCAGGAAAAAAAGCATTGAGTGGAAACATGTTGTGCTCTGAAAGAACAGCTCCGAAGGGACTCGGACTTTTTGGCCAAGGTCATTACTGGTAATGAGACATGGTGTTATTCTTATGACCCCCCAAAGCAAACATCAGCTAAGCCAGGGGAAAATACCATCGTCATCTCGATCCCCAAAACCCCAAAACTTGTCAAGTGAAATCAAGATCCAGACAATGCTCATTTGTTTTTTTTTGATGTGAGGGGAATCGTGCATTTGGAGTTCATTCTACCAGGTCAGACTGTTAACCAAGCTCTCTATCTAGAGGTTCTGAAAAAATTGAGTAACAATGTGTGAAAAAAAAAAGGCCTTATTTGTGGCAGACAGGGGGACTGGTTTTGTCACCATGGCAATGTACCTGCTCACACAGTCATCTCAGTGCACCAGTTTTTGGCAAATAACAGCATGCCTCCCATGCCGCACACATCTTACTCACCTGACCTTGCTCCATGCAACCCTTTTTTTTTTGTTTCAGCGAATGAAGAGAGATATGAAAGAACAGAGATTCGACAATGTAAAAGAGGTGAAGAAAAACACGAGGGAGGTGCTGTCAGCCATCCAACCAGATGAGTTTGAAAAATGTTTCCAAGAATGGAATTGCACATTTGACAAATGCATTAAGTGTAATGGAGAGTATTTTGAAGGTGATAGGTTGTTTTTGTAAAAAAAATTAAGTTTTGAGCAGATAATCTGAGGAACTGGACTGCACGAGGCGGATCTTGGCTTCATCAGCCTGCAGCTGTGAAACTCCCAGCCAGACGTCCGACCCAGACTGGAAACCTGCTTGGAATTGTACCATCAAATGCATGTATGTAAGTTCTGGCTGAAGGTGAAGAAAACTGAAACAGGTCCGAGAGCCAGAATACAACCTCGAGTATATTCCACCTGAATTTCAAGAACATCTCAAGAACAGAGTTGCTGCGTTGGACACCAATGAGACAAGACTTGATGAGCTATCAAATGGCATCAAGAACATTATTCATGAAGAAATCAGAAGGTCATAAAAAGATAAGAAAGAAAGAAAGAAAGGAGGATAGTGGGTATCAAAGGTGGTGAGGTAGTTAGTTTATTGTGCCAACCTGGCTGATAAACACATGTGGGATTAATTGAAGGGTGGAGAGCTAAATGGCTTGGCGAGCCTTGCCTTTCTTGTTTCTTGCTCTTTGATCATCGGACCAGTGTGCAGCTGCCTTGCTTGTTCTGTGCCTCAATTTGCAAGCTACACTACCCGTGGGACACCTAACCCGTGCACTGTGTTGCTGTGATTTGAGGTTCTTTCTAGATCTGCTTTGCCACACGATTGGAATTTACATCTCTTGAGTTGGGGACTGACAGAACCTGTCATCTGGCTGACTGTTGGTGACCAGCCTTGCTGTTTGCTGACTGTGCCCGGATAGCCTGAATTGCTGTATAGAGGACTACCTGGTGGCCCTCAAGGCTTGAAGGACTGCCAGTGTCTCACAACTGTCACGGGAGTGAGTTGCACTGAGCCATTTGTACTGCTTTATAATTTAACTGCTTATTTCTTGTGTTATATATCTATCTGTATAAATATATATAAAATTATTAGCAATCTGGTTTTGTCTCTCTAGAGAACCCTGTCTAATACAGGTGGATACTCTGAAACTTGCTGCTAATCATAGGAAAAATGCTAAGCTAGGAAAAATGAAAGGATGAAGTAAAAGAGATGAATAGAAAATTTCTTGAGAAGACAAAGCCCAGTATTATAATGAAAAGAGCACAGTCATAGCATTGGAAACCAAAGAGGAAGCACACAGCACATCTTAAAATGAAAGCACTCAAGAAAAATTTCAAGCCTTGAGTTACAATATTGAAAAATCGTATGGGCAAAATATTGAATGATGCAGGAAGCATCAAAAGAAGATGGAAATAATATACAGAGTCACAGTACCAAAAATAATTAGTTGACATCCCACTATTTCCGGAGGTAGCATATGAGCAAGAACCAATAGTTCTGAAGGAAAGTGTTCAAGCTGCTTTAGCCAAAAACTAGGCTCCAGGAACTGATGGAATACCAACTGAAATGTTTCATCACCCTGGAAACACTTACCCATCTATGTCAGGACATTTTGAAGACAGCTACTTAGCCAACTGGCCACAAGAGATCCATATTTGCACCTGTTCCAAAGAAAGGTGACCCAGTCGAATGCTCAAGCTATAGAACAACACCTTTGATATTACATACAAGTAAATTTTTGCTGAAGATCATCCAACAACAATTGTAGCAGTTAGATTGAC